ACCGCTTTAAAATTTGCAACCCATTTTACCGTCATAATCTGAGGGCAGTTGCTTAAACAAAGCCATTAAATTAAGATTGTGTTGTAAGAGCCAGTATGACTAACTAGCTGTTACCATGCACACATGCTTGTATAGTGACTGTATAGAGTATACTGTATATAGATTTATACATCATTTATATTATATATAAATATATTTTATATATAAATTATATTTTTTACTTAAATATACATGCATGTGTGTGTATTTATTTCTCCATTCCATATTCCATATGTGTTACATAACACATATATTATGTAAACACAAACTTTTATTTTGGATGCGATTAATCGCGATTAATCGTTTGACAGACCTAAGATAAATGTATGCTACTATTTGGAGGACCAAGGTTTCAATTTAATAAATCTCAAACAATCAAAATATTTAAATTTTACCATATAATAATGAGGTTGTTACAATTATTACAGATGCTACCGTTTGTGTTAATGGACATAAATCCATCTGCATCCTAACTCAAGGTACTACTACTGTCAAATGTATGTTTCTAAGAGACAAAACATATTATTAATATTGTAATATTATTAATATTGCACCGTTCACTGCAAACCGAAGTGCCGAAGATACGTGACACAAGTCAGGCAACAACCCCGTTCCATGATTTGAAACAATGAACACATACTAAGAAATACATTTTCTATTAAGATATATTTTGTTAAGGGAAAATTACTGGAAACGTGTAAAGTACACAAGTAGTTCTTGCTCAGTAAAATCGCTTGTTTGGAATTTTTTTTTGGACCCTTGGTTAACTAGCCTGTTTCGAATTAAATGGCAGACTAATCATTGCATAGCTTGAAGATATTAATACATTTAGAATATGTAAACATGGTGCGCTCAATTTTCATGCATGTTTGCAGCCTGTGTTTTGTATATAAAAACTATGCACTCTAATGAGTTTTATCGATTAAATTATTATCGACAATTAATTGATCGTTGATGAATCGTTAGCATCCCTATCAATCCGAAGGTTGAAAGTAATTGTTTTTCTGCATATTTTTGTGCAAAAAAAAAAACTTTAACATTATAAGTGAACCTCAAGGAAAATAAAAAATATCATGTCATTTCAGAAAGTATGACCCCTTCAGAAAGTAAATAGGGTCAGTTTTCAGCAAATAGGAACAGTCCTATAGGGCTCGATATTGCATACCCATTGTGACATTTAAATCCAAGGCAATTTGTTGTAGGGATGGCTGCTGACACCGATGGCTTTGTGCTCTTGGAAGTGTGCCGTGTGTAGTGATCTCAGCAGCACTGCCTGCCAAGTCAGCTCTCCAGCAACCCTCAGAGGTTAGCAGCGGCCCGGCAGAGCCCAGCTATGGCAGGACAATAAAGCGGTTTTCCTCACATGTCAGTTAATCTGCAACCAGTCAGTAAGATCTTGCTAGACACGCAAACATCACTGAGTGGGACGGACACTTTTAATGCAGTATTCTTAGGATTGGTTTTGGGGGTAGACAGACTACTAACTATATTTTAAGAAGCATTTAAACCAACATCAACATTGTTACGACCCCGTCTAGACATGAAACCAAAATGTAGTTTTTTTCATTTCCTTAAAGGGTTAGTTCACCCAAAAATGAAAACTATGTCATCACTATGTCACAAGCCTGTAAAACCTCCGTTCATCTTCGGATCACAGTTTAAGATATTTTAGATTTAGTCAGAGAGCTTTCTCCTGTGAAAAAGTGTACGGTATACTGTCCTTGTCCAGAAAGGTAATAAAGACATCATCAAAGTAGTCCATGTGACATCAGTGGGTTAGTTACAAAGTTTTGAAGCATCGAAAATACATTTTGGTCCAAAAATAACAAAAACTACGACTTTATTCAGCATTATATTTTCTTCCGGTTCTGTTGTCAATACGCATTCAGTGACGCTGCTGAAATGTATCTGGTGCGTCCGTGTATTCGGGTTCAAATAAATAGGCTATAGCTGGGCAAAAAAAAACTGCAAATCTTCCTCTGTGTGGAAATCCTTAGACATGTTTGCGAATAGAGCCAGACCGATAAAGGATTTTGTAGTCCGATACCGATACAAATATTTATTGGTTTTAAAATCCGATATATCGGCCGATATTTTTTCTTAATTATTATTTCAGAAACACGCAACAAATTGTAAAACATACATTTTCAATATAACAGGCCAAGGAGAGATGATACGTCTCATTGCTATAACCGTCACGCGTTATTAAAGAAATACTTCAGTCACATTGTCAAAAGTTAAAAGGACTACACTGTAACAACATAATGTACTAGCTAATTCTGCTTCATTCTCGGCTTATTTAACTGCAGCAAAACTGGACATGATAGTCACAAATTTTGGTAAAATATTCATTATCAAAATATGATACAAAATATTCATTTATCGGCCATTATAACTGCCGATACCGATAATTTGGAAAATGTCTAATATCGGCCTGCCGATATATCGGCGAAGATTTTTTTTGTACAGCGTGCGTCTCTCTCAGACTGTAACCGAAGCTCGGACGCACCCGATACAAGTCAGCAGTGTCACTGAACGCGGATGCACAACAGAACCGGAAGACAATACAATGCTGAATAAAGACGTAGTAGTTTTGTTATTTTTGGACCAAAATGTATTTTCAATGCTTCAAAACATTGTAACTAACCCACACATGTCACATGGACTACTTTGATGATGTCTTTATTACCTTTCTGGACAAGGACAGTATACCGTACACATTTTCAACGGAGGGACAGAAAGCTCTCAGACTAAATCTAAAATATCTTAAACTGTGTTCTGAAGATGAACAGAGGTCTTACGGGCTTGAAAAGACATGAGGGAGTGTCATTACATTAATGACAAAAAATTTCATTTTTGGGTGAACTAGCCTAACCCTTTAACATATGTTCTTGGTCTTAATAATATATAAAACGATTCACCAGTGCCGTGCGTCAGTTTTCCTAAAGAAAACAAAATGTTGCCTTTATAACCTTTTTTTAAATTTAATGATAACTTTCTCCTATTCTGTAACAATTTTCTTAAGCCAGATTTCCAGAATTGCTTCTTTTTTTTTAAGCAAAAGTAGATTTAACATGACACTAAACAAACATCAACCAAGAACAGAAAAGAAAAAGTGTTGAAATTAAAATAGACATCTTAGGTTGTAATTTGAATTTAAAACTTGACTGCAATACATAAATGCAGCAAATGTATTGTATCCTCTGCAGTAGGTCAGAATCATAATTGTGCAGCTCTACTAGAGTTAATCTGAAGCTTATTTGAGTAATCATCCTGTCACATTTGCAAAACAGGACCCTGGTCTTCATTAATAATGCATAATGTGTTTTCATTGTTGACATCATTGTAAATCGGCCATTAAAACTAATAACAGCTCATCTCTCAAAGTAAATGTAAATTAAACATCCATCCACAGACACATTTGCATTTCAAAATTTACATCTAACATCAACACAACCTGCTTGTTGTGAATATGCACAATTAGCAAGGTGAAGTGCATCCCGACCCGCACCGCTATCACAGATGAAGGGCTCAATACTTCAGTGACGCATGAGACCCGAGAGGTGGGTTGACAGAATGGATACAGCGCCCACATCTACCCCAGCACGCCTGGCACAGGCCCATCCCATCCGACTGAGCCAATCTCAGCCGATAACGTCCATCAGTCTAAAACCTCATACTAAAACCTCCCATAAAGCCAGCCATCTCAGCCAGAGAGCCCAGGCCAAACTAATCAAACACAGCCTGCCACCTGCATTTGGAGATAGGGAGCGATTAATGACACGGCTGTATTCATCACATCAGTCCAGCTTTATTCCACCTGGCATTTACTGCAGGAGCTGGACAAAAGGACCAGCATAGTTAACAGTGACCAAGCATTATACTATCAAAAGTGTGATTATGCTCAGTGAGGACTAATATAAGCATGTATTGATATTAAAAAAAAAAACTCTTATGTGGAATATAGTTGGGACATATTTATGTATAAGTTAATGATGATATTAACAACTTGAAGATTGGAGTGCAATAACTGAGCCATTAGAAGTGCACTTTTAAAAATATTTTACTACAATAAATGCATGACACTTTCACATTAATAATCAATCTGTACAATCACCAAGCTGTCAAATACTCCAAATAACAAACTTCAAAGTAATTGTAAATAATGCGCGTGCACACGTACTACATACAGATGATTTCTAAAAGAGACTGGAGTAATGATGCTGAAAATTCAGCTTTGCATCAAAAAAAAATGTATATTTGAAAGTATACTTAAAATAGAATACCATTATTTTAAATTGCGATATTTCACGATATTACTGTTTTTTCTGTATATTTGAACAAAAAAAGGCAGGCTTGATGAGCAAAGAGACTTCTTTCAAAAACAATAAAAATAGTCATGTTTTCAAACTTTTGACCAGTACTGTAATATTTATGCATCTATATAGGCTAACAATAATAATAATAATGTGTTTGTGTGTGTGTGTGTGTGTGTGTGTGTGTGTGTGTGTGTGTGTGTGTGTGTGTTTTAAAATTGTAATAAATCCAAACAAAAGTGCAGAGAAAGTCACTGATAACAGAGGACTAACAATCTAAGTCAACTTCCCAGACATATACTGTGTAGACCTAAAGATCATATTTCCATATTTGAGGTGCAGAACGAATCTTTTACCACAGTATCAGATTGCAGGAATGTCTAAAGATAACGAATATTTAAAACAATAACCAGAAATCTGAAAAAGAGCAGTGTTGACAGACAGATCAAGATCACGTGATATGAGCTTGAGGGCACACCCGGTTAAGCTTTAATATTAATATTCATGAACCAGGCCTTCGCCATAGTAGGATTCGCCACCCGGTAAACAGGTGTAGTTTTTAAAATAATTCCGATTAAAAATGCCAAAGTAAATGAATATTTATCTAGTTGTGTTTCGATTTCAAACTTAAAAACAGCACGTTACCTGTTCAACAATCTTCTTGTATCTTTGAGTGGCTTGTTCGATCAAATCCCGTACCATCCAACTGTCTTTACACGGGACGACAACCCTCGTTTCCCCGAAATTGACCGTGACTTTCATCTTAATTCGCTCATGAAACGTTCAGGTATCCTCGTAGTTTGTTTATTACACAGTTTCTCTTAAAACCAGCGCCGAAGAGTCAACAGGTGTCATTGGTCAAGTGTTACAGGTGATGTTCCTCCTTCTCTTTAGTGTACAAATAAAGTCTTCAGTAAGGCAATATTAATCCACGAACGGAATAATCGTCCAGTAAACACATTCCCAAACCACACTTTGAAGAGAAAGACACAATCCTGGATGACAGAGAAAAGTCCTGATGTGTTTTTTCCAGAGTTCACGCGCGCGCTGAAGTCCAGAGTGAAACCGGAAGCGGCAGATAGAGCAAAACTATCGTGATTGACTGACAGACAGCTTTAAACTCTCAGTTCCCTAGAATAATCACTGCGGAGAGAAAGATGTGGCCTATTTACAGATATGAATGACTCACTTGACACAGAATGAATAAGTAGCCAACTAAAGTTATAGTGAATCTCACATATTAGAAAATAAGATAGAAATAGAGAATAGAGAGTTTCTGACAGCATGAGTAAACTATCATAATGATAGATAGATAGATAGATAGATAGATAGATAGATAGATAGATAGATAGATAGATAGATAGATAGATAGATAGATAGATAGATAGATAGATAGATAGATAGATAGATAGATAGATAGATAGATAGATAGATAGATTTATAAATGAACCTTTCCCGCTATTTTGCAGCAGAGACTTTAGTACTTGTGCAGAAATTGATTACAAAAGGAGTAGTTCACTTTAAAAAAAAAAAACTTTTGCTGATGATTTACTCACCCCCATGTCATCCAAGATGTCCATGTCTTTCTTTTTTCAGTCGAAAAGAAATTAAGGTTTTTGATGAAAACATTCCAGGAATTTCTCCATATAGACTTCAATGGGAACCAAACGCTTCAAGGTCCAAATGTGAGTTTCAGTGCAGCTTCAAAGGGCTTTAACCGATACCAGACGATGAATAAGCGTCTTATCTAGTGAAACGATCGCTCATTTCAAAAATAAATAACAAAGTTTAAGTTTTATAAGCACAAACGCTCGCCTTCTGTGATGCACGTTCGTAACTCTCCTGTTCAAACGCGTTCATCAAAATTAACAAATCTTTTTTCGAGTCATGACTCGAAGGGTACAAGACCCTTATTCATCGTCTGGTGTCCTTTAAAGCCCTTTGAAGCTGCACTGAAACTCTCATTTGGACATTGAACCGTTTGGTTCCCTATAAAGTCGGAGAAAATCCTGTAATGTTTTCATCAAAAACCTTAATTACTTTTCGACTGAAGAAAGAAAGACGTGGACATCTTGGATGACATGGGGGTGAGTAAATTATCAGCAAAAGTTTTTTAACTACTCCTTAAAAAGGAAAGCTACCCTGAGAATGTTCACTGCATGAAGTAAAAAGATTAATGACTAGCCTGTGGGTGTAAATTACATGTACAAAGTGCATCTAAATTAAAGAAGACTTCCTTACTTCCTGTTTGAAATATTAGTTCACAGTCCCCAGGCCTTACTTTGCAACTACATATTCCAGTGACAATGGGCTATTATCAGAGGACTATTGTGTGTCCCTAGTGTTTCATTGACCCAATTACACTATCAACCTCTCCAACCTTCTTCTACACCCTTCTCATCAGCCATATACATGAAGATAGTGATGTGACAGCTTTATTATTCCCACAGTTTGATTGAATTTAAAATAGCATTCATGTTCTTAGTTTAGATGAATAATGCACATATTCTATATCGCTCCCCCAGTTTAAATAAAATATATTTATTTTTTCATTTTACCGACCACACACATTTGAATATTTGTTAACATCAGGGCCTACGTTTAGACAAAGTCTGAACACTTAAACCTTCTTATTAGCATTGAAATGCAGTATAAACACCAATGTGACAACAATACGCTTGATAGTGAACTGCTTTAGTCCGGGATCGCCCCATCATTATAACAGGAGATGCCAAACTCTGCCATCTGGAGGAGTGACTGTGCCAGCCAAAATCCTCTTGTCTCTTTCTGATATCCAATTTTTCATATGCAATTCAACAACAGATTTAATGCTATAGCCTCACCACAGCCATTTGGAGAAAGTTATGGTTTATAATCCCTTTCTTCGCCATAAAATATAATGGGGAATGTTTTTGGAACACTCATTTATTTAGGAAGGGTATAGATGGTCTCACAGTACATAAGGTTTATGAGGCACACATTCAAAGTGAGTATGACCGATGTGCCAGACATCAAAAATACTGCTTCGCCAGCACAGAGGAGTTAATGGAGCTATCCGGTAACCATTATAACTATAAAACAGCATGCCTCAAATGCTCAGAATTGTTTAAGTAAGAGAGCATTAGACAAATCTCAAGGGTATCAAGATACTAGTTAACATGATGGTTATAATCAGCGCTAACATAAATCAACTATTCTAAGGCAATTAACTTCGCAAGCCAATCAAGTGCTCTCATGTGTGTCATATCATTTATAGGTATGCACAAATTAATTTATGTTGTTTTCATGCCTGCTGTAGTGATTAAGTAGAGGCCAACATTAAGTGCAAATAGATTAGAAATATTTTTTTATTGTGCAGTGAAAAAGTGTGCATGTTACAGACTACAAAGTATACAGCCTACAGACTGATTTACAGATTTGTAATTTTTTTTGTCAAATCAACTTAAATGATTTATATAGTTAAGATAACATAATATTTTGAGTTTCTGATGATTAAATCAATCTCGTTCATTGTATTAATTTTGAAATGTGAAAGTTGAAGTTGGGTTAAACTTTGAAATTATATTTTTTTTTTAACCCAACATTTGGGTTTGTCCATATTTGACCCAAATTTGGGTTAAAACAACCCAGCATTGTTTAGAGTGCGCAGTGTTTAAAAAAAACTTCCTTGAATAATTAAGTAAAAAGGAAGCGTTACATGTTCAGTATATGCTTCCCTTTATCATACATCATTTTTATAAATATCTAACAGAAAAAAAGAAATAAGCGACAGACCAAAACAACAAGGAAGCTAATGTTTTCTTCATGGCTCTGTTGCGGGAGAGTATAATACAATTTTACCACTCTCATTTTGTGTGGCGGCAAAGTATTCATTTCACGCTTATAACCTCGTCTAGTGTTTTAATTGATTGGGCTTGATTAAATGCTTATTGCGATTGCACTGGCAAGTCTGAAAGTAGTAAAGAATTACGACAGCTGCTAGACAGTGAGCATCATTTCATAGCTCACTCAATGAGTTCATGGAGAGGGCAAGAGAAAGAATGAGGCTCGCTTTTTGTTGAAGAAAAGCTGTTTATCTTTTCCTTATTGTGAAATAATGTGCTCAGGAGGGAGAGAGGGATGTTTGTGCACGCAAAAATAGCTTGTTCAAACGAATGATTATTTCATGTCTTCAGTTCTTTATGGTTTGCCTTCAAGTAAGAGAGATTATTATACACTGTTGATAGAAAAAAGAGGCATATAGTTGCTGTAGACCTTCTTTGAAGTAAAAAATTATTATTTGGCGTGCATTTTTAATCCAATTGTGTACAAAAACTATTTGTGTCTTAGCTCTTTAAAGCTATTGTGTGATTTTTACCTCCATCTAGTGGTGAAAATGTATATGACCATCCATTGAATATTAGTTTCTGTTCCTCTCAATTCCGATTTCGTTTTAACTCCTACGGTGGCCAATGTAGTCCAAGATTAACATGGCTTCTAGCATAGATATAGACCTCACCTGGGGGTTCTAAGCATGCATCAAAACCGCCGCCATCTTGGAACAGGGGTCTTGTCATAGGAAGTAGCTAGGTAAAGCTGCTATCTCTGCCTTTACTTCGAATTCATTGATGGTGGCGGACTTTTGTGCAGCGTATGATGTTCACGGATGAAATCTGATCTAGGAAGAATGTTTCAAAAAAATAAAAAAATGTCTTTCTGGAATCAATGATAAATACATGTCTGACCGTTGGAGCTAACCAAAAAAAACAAGAAAAATCGCATTCATGATGATTTATGGTGATTTTATTTGCGCTAGACCTGTGCCTAGCGCAAATATGCTGATGCATTAAAGTGGAGGGGCTCCCCTGTTTCAAGATGGCGGCTCTATTGACGCATTCGTTCCAATGAACTGCCGTATCCAAGGTGAGGTCTAGTGTATATATCTATGGGCTTCGCTTCTAGTGCGACCTCGTGTGTGTTAACTCAAATGTAAACGCGAAAGGCGAAGCTTGAATTAAAGGGTATGTCCCTCTTTGGCTAATGTACTTTCAAGATGGAGGGGCGACATGGCCGTATGTATTTTCAATGGCATATTATACACTCACGATAATACTTTATTACTGATACGAAGTAAATATACATTAATGAGCACATATATTTTTGAAAGAACTAAGTGTTTTTAGCTAAGAATAAACACAGTGTAGCTTTTAAAGTTCTATCAAATAATGAAATACAATTTTGTATTAAAAACAGAGTATTACAATATGTAATGTTACAAAAAATATGCAAACGTACAGGCACTTAAATGGATCATTGAATCATTAAATAAATTATTCAGTCGAATGAACCTGAGTGAACCAGTTCAGTAATATGAATCACAATCATAAATGCTTCATTTGCAAAATATTGCTATGTAAAAGCATATGCTACTTTTCAAAATATTGGCTTTACAACTGAAAAAAAAAAGTTCCTGCCTTAAATTCTTAAGTACATTCAACTTGGATGTTTAAGTCATTTTAACTTAATTACATTGACTTGCATGAGTTAAAGCAAACTATACTGTCATAACCTATTGATCATATATATTTTTTTTACATTACTTTTATAATGTAAATATCATTTTCACACAAAAATTGCTAGTGAGTTTCACAAAGTAGAGACTAAAATAGTATTCTCTTGTAAAACATACTCCAGTAATCTTTGCAGTGGGATTTAGTTTGAAACCATTTCACTCAGAAATTACTAGAGAAAAAAAAAACTAATAACACAATGAATTATGGTAAATGTGAAAAGTAAAACACTATTTTCTAGTACAATAATCTTACTTGTGCAAAAACATTGAGTATGCTAGTATGCTAATTCGAACATAAGCATAGAAGGTGTATTGTAGGGTTGGATCATTGTTGACTTTGTTTAGCACTGTTGTTCATTAGTTCCTCCTGTTTTGGGTGGAACTTTGTGGTTTATTCTCTGTGAACCTGGTGAAGCAAAGGGAACAGATCCGTTGAATACACTGTGTGTCTGTTTATAGAAAAGCAGCTTCCTAAATTTTAACTCATGTCGAGGAGATTTTCACTAGACATGACTTCCCCCAT